CCCTGAAGGCAATTTAAAGCTAATTCACCTTCCCAAAAGAGCATCAACACCACATTAAGATACATTCCAGACAGCTGACAGCACAAAAACATTTTACTAATTCCAGCTTTCTAACTGTATTTACTACCCTTAGGAATCAGTTAATCAGTTTCTAGAAGACACGTTCCTTATTCTCCAGCTCTCACCCCGAATTACATTCTGCTTTTTGACACTATTTCTTCTTATAATGTATCATTAAAAACAAAAAACATGAAAAAATAGAATCATTAATATTTTTAACCAACACTCTTCTTAAACGTTGGCCATTGTTGATGACTGTGCTCATGAATTAGAAAAAAAAAAAAAAAAGGACTAAGCAACTCATTCGTTTTACAGCTAATTCAAGTCTTCACACATTTGTTCTCCATGAAAAATCCAGAAATGTGAATTCACATTTGTGGCATAAAAATAGCACTAGACACCAAATTGATTCATGGCTTTTCTACGAAATTGTTAATTTCGAAACCTTAAAAATATATGATTTCAAAATGGAATAGAACAGGCATGAATGAAACTAAATTATACTCACAAATTTAGACCTCTTTCCCTCACGTCATGAATTCACACAGTAAATCAAAGATGTTAGCTCAGAAGTGATACTCCTATTTACAATTTGAACAATTCAAGGTAGCAGTTGGAGCAGCTGCATGTCCAAGCCAGGTGCTGACATGACAAACAGGAGGAAAACAAGTGAAAGTTATAAAAAATGCTCCATAGTCAATCTTGTTGAAAACATTTATTAGGTGAGTATAAAAAAATCTCAGAACTTCTAGTTCTTGCACTCGGTTTTTGTCTGTTTCATTCTAAGTCTTCTTACCTAGTAAGAATAGCTACGCTCATTTAGGATATTTAACCTACCTTGAAAACAGAAATTTGTTATGCCTCAGTAAGACTGCTAATGCTGCCAGTAATTTGATTCTTTGGACAGCTGATTAAGAACAAATAAGCCTTAGTCTTAATTAGATGCATCTCTGAATACAGAAGGTAATTTCTGTATTTGGCAATCAAGTATGCAAGTCATGAAAGAAAAAGGTGTTTCTTAAAAGGACGATATTAAACCACAGAATATCTGCTCATTTTCCTCCATTATGAGGAATTTTGAGGCTAGAACATCCAAAAAATCATTAACTCTAAAAGAAAGCTTTGCCAGAACAACAAAGAGAGCCAGCCACAACTGGGTATCTTTTACCATTACAGCCTGCTGCATGCTTTCCACATCAAAGCCAAGGTGCACAGCAAAAGTTAGCAAGTCCCCTTTTCTGCAGCTTTTGCTGCAATTTTCTCGATAATACACTGTTCTCCAAGGATTTTTATGGCCCATACTCCTAAATGGGAACGAAACATCCAGAACACTGGATGACAGTATTTGCCAATGCTGCACACACCACGCAACAGGCTTTCTTCTTTGGCTAGACTGACCATCTGACCTTAACTTTGTAGGTGCAGTCCAGATTGGATCTGAATCAGCACGTGTACCTGTTGTTAATCTGGACTTAGGGAGGCTCCAACAAACAACCTGTACTCGACAATCAGCCTAGAGGTGCTAAATCCGGGTCAAACCAAATAGCACTTCAGTACTGGTCTTAGCACTATGCAGCTACATGGTACAACCAAGTCAAAACAAGTCCACTTATCTTGCTAGAATTTGCTCACAACACTGTGCAAGGGTCAACTCCAACAGGCAGACTGGATTACATTTAATGCGTAATTTTTCTTCCTATGTGAAAATAAAGCCAGAATAAACTCTGTACTGCGTGCTCTAATTTAATCAAATGTTATTATGTGCCTGGGCCTGATCCAGATCAAATTGGAACTGCTAGATAGTCAAATACACACCAAGTATTAATCAGCAATAATGCCAAAGACATTTCTGTAGGACGGATGTATTGGAAGATATTAACATTCCGAAGAACCTCCTCATCCTTCAACTCGTTAACTCATGATTTTTTCTGAAATAGAAAGGAAAGGCAGGAAAAGTCCATAACGTCACATTTGTTACAAAATGTTATTCTCAACACACTTGTATTAAACCACAGCAACTTTCTAATGAGAAGCCAGTGAGACTCACTGCACTTAACTGTGTTTGCACAAATGTCAAATAACCCCGAAGAGATTTGCACAGACTCTAGACTACATGATTTAGTAATGATTAAACTTTGTATGCTGAGAAGAAACAGTGCAGTAAAACTGAAGATAGACTCTATTAAAATAGCATTGCTAACAGTAGTATGTTATATTTTTGCAACACTGCAACATGGCTAGACGTGGCATGTAAGTATAATGCAAAGCATGTGAATACGACCAAGAATGAAGGTAAAAACAGACTGGTGCAGTTCCATGTAGAAAACACAGCAGAAGACAACATGGCTCCATTAGTTACTCTGTCATACTCTTATCACAACAGTCTGACTCTGATACACAGAAGCGTGCATTTAAGCAATTACATTGCACTATCCACTGCTCAGTGTGGATCCACATGGATTTTAGCAAGCTAACGCATTTCCACTGAACCAGAAGACATCGGGAAGGGTGAACAAAGTGCCAGGACAGCAGATGCTGCCAGCTGCAAAGCGTCTTTTGCTATGCCTATTTTAGCTAAAATACCTACCATCAGCTTAAGCATATTGAGACATTTTTTTCCACAGATCTTAAAGTCAATGAGTAGTAGCCCTGATCCAACTGCTAAGCTGCAGGCTTTGGATTCAACCTCCATTACCTTCAGTCACACACAGCAGTGGGGAGGATGCAACCTACCGCTTCAATAAAGACAGCTGAGCATCTGAGGACATTTCAATCTTAGAGCTGGCTTCCCAGGAGATCCATTAATTTAATACATATTGTGGCTTCCAGATGAGGTGTGTCGTTTCCATTATCGACAATGCCAATTCAGGTTTCTGCTTCCCATTCGACTTATTTAATGGGGAATTAATGGTTCACAGGAATTCACAGTGAGATAGATACATTATATCTTTGCAGACACGTGTAAAGCTTTGAGGAAACACCTCTTCCCACCATTCAACAGTCTTTCTTGTAGGGAAGAAATTTTCTATTGACTGCAACATCAAAAAACTAAGAAACCATATCCAACTACCAATCACAGCATGCAAAATTCTTACTGCTCCTTATTTTTGTTTATGCCTCAGATGACTATGATTAACTTCTAGTTGTTTTTTTTTTTATTATTTCTTTTGCACTATTCTTCACACCACGTTCTTCAGATATAAAACTCAACTGCTGCTAGTACATAAGAAAAAGAGCTATGTGACAATACCACCAACATGTAAATCAAGGGCTTTTGCCACTCAAGACCATCTGACACCTTCCCAGAAAGGTGACAAACACATAAGCATCAAATCCCACAACTGAGTAGTCCTGCCACAGAGGTATCCATAACTAATGCTCATACCAAAGAACAACAACTAACAGTGAACCTTCTGAAAGCTGCATGGGAGACCCAAAATACAACATTAACACCCTTATCAAACTTCAGAGAAAGAAGCCTTCAAGTCTTACCTTACCACAGTAAATATCTAAACAAAAAGGAAATCAAACAGAGTGATGTCTGAAGAACTCAATGGGTAACAACAAGCATACATAGGAGCAAACAGGTAGTTAACTTACTCGTGTATTACAAATAATTGTGGTCTAAGTACTTTGTAAAAGAAGAAACGTTCTCAGGTGAGCAGCTCAAGGTGAAAGAGCCAAGTCATTAAGATGCATAATTGTCAGTAAGAAGCAGCAGCTGTCACAACAGTGGATCCTTTTGCCCTTCCCACCACCATCCCTCACTGGCAGAGGTTTCCACAGACCAGTTCTCAGAGCAGAGCATAGGGTTCCCAGCTGCCAGACCAGACACAGGCACCTCATTCCCTGCGGGAGCCTCCATGCCCCAACCAGAGACTGCAGCTGTGTCACAAGAACAAAAGGCACTCACCGTTCCGACTCTCTTCATCAATGGGAACTATTGTGGCTGGAGGACCTGTTCTGGCCAACTTACAATCTATAAAGATAAAAAGAGAAGTTACTTCTGATTCCAGAGAAAGGATTTTGTGTTTCTTTTGGTCTGTTTTGTGATTTTGCATATTCAGCATACCAAAGAGAAGCATCTCTGAAATATGACATGTATAGGCTACAATACTTTACAGCTCATTTACACTCAGAAGATCAAAATCTGAGCTCTTCATTTATCTTTTCCTCAACTAAACTCTGTAAAGCAAAGGAGACCGAGAATTTAATATCTCAGATGTTGATCCATTTTTAAAAACTAACAGTTATAGAACATGAACTACACAGATTGCTACATCCTCTCTTAGGTGAGCTTGCCTTCCCATGTCACAACTACACACACCAAATCCTCATCACATACCACACTACAGCATTGATGGCTACACTACGAACATCTCCGTGCCTTGCAGGGACCACAATGAAGCAGAGTCCTTCAAGACAAGTATAATATGATGGTCGTTTATCCCAAAGAAATAAAAACAAACAAGGGAATGGTTAAAAGGTATAAATCATAATTAAAGCTTCACAACAGAAACAAATAATTTGAATTAATTGCAACAGAAGGGTTTAATGAAAGGGAGTGAAAAGAGTTTTAATAATGTTCAAAGGGAAATAAAAATTAAAGACAGACAAGCAATGCTCAGGAAGTTTCATTTTGCCATCTTACCCTCATATTGCCAGTCTGGAGTCAAAAGTTTAGAGGCATCAATGGAAGCAGAGCAGAATAACGAAAGAAAATAAGTAAGATTTTGTTGCTTTACAGAAATGATAGCTTCAAAGATAAAAGCAGTACATGCAGAGCTAGCAAACGCATAGGTGTAGTCCTAAAAAATATAAAAACAGGTATACTACTCGCAATGAACATTTTGTGAACACTTTCATTTTCCACATTAAACAGAAGAAAAATATTACCTCTTCAAACCACACAGAAGAAAAATAAAAAGTTAATTAAGAATTACTTTTCACTTTTAAAGAGCCCCACAGTGCCACTAGAGCAGCGTGCTATAAGAAAAGATTTCTCCTTCCCCTTTCAACACAGAACTGCATACAGAACTTGCATGGGCCCAGCCAGGAGGATGACACCGGATATCACACATACAGGTTAGATGCCAGGAAAAATTTCTTCTCTGAAAGAGAAGTCAGGCTCTGGAACAGGCTGCCCGGGGAGATGATAGAGTCACCATCCCTGGAGGTGTTCAAGGAAGATGTTGTACTGAGGGACATGGGTTAGTGGGAAATACTTGTGGCAGGTGGATGGTTGGACTGGATCATCTTGGAGGTCTTTTCCAACTTTGGTAATTCTATCATTTTATGGCTATAGCTGGCTTTGACCCAAAGGGATACAGTTTCTGTATGGTTTCTACCCAAGCGCTGGAGCATCGCCGTATCTCTTGAGAAGTCTAAACACTTGAGGCAAAATCCCACTACAAAATCATCTGTAAACTAAGAGCAGCAGCAAAGAGAGATAAAATACAACTTCCCAGCCTCCAGTAAAAATGACACACTCACTGACTTCAACAGAAGTGCAGCAGCTAATTCATTCCATGCTGTAATTTCACCCTGCATGGACCACATCTACAAAGGAAGACGAAAGCAGTAAAGCACTTATCCAGATGCCTGCTCAAGTGAGACCTCCAAAGGGCAACTCTGTGGCATGATGATTTCCTCCAGTGACTGCTTTGCTATTGGGCTGGTGAGTGACAGCACGAGTCTTGGAGGCTGCTTGTATTTATGAATATCCCGAATGCCACTGAATTGTCACTGATGATACCACAGTCCCATCATTTATCTTTTGACTTATTTATTTTTAAAAGCTGTGTGGGCAAACCTTGCTCAGAAGATAAAATGCAGAAAGCTGGTGTGGGCACACAAATATTCCTATTCATTTAGCAGTAGTTTCATGTACCTCCTTCATTTGCTATCCTAAGAAGTCTATGCAAGTTCATTTGGTGAGCAAATGCTCAGCTTTTCTTCATATTCTCACACACTGTAGGTGCATACGTAAACATTGCATACCTTTTGCTTACAGTACTTTAACACAGTAAACAGACCACTTGAAAAACTACACCTTCCATTCCATTGCTGTTTTCATCGCTAGGAGCAATCTCTGGAAAGATAAGTAATATTTGCTTATCTACCTGAAACACAGATTTTTTTTCATGCTCTTATTCTATTCACTGGTTGCTATAAAAATAACAGGATCATAACTCATATGGCCCCACAAAGATTTCTTAGAATTTTCAAGAAGTTTACAAGCTGCTAACTGAACAACCCTTCGACATGCTCTTTGTGAGTGCAACGAAGCTCAATGATATAAATGTGCTGAGAGTGTTTTCACGAGTGGTCTGTTGTTTGTCACCAAGCAGCAATCAGTGCACACATCACCAAAACAAAATCCAAACCAGGGAGAAATTTTAATCCCACAGAATGAACATGCCTTTCTAAAGGGTAATCGTGACTCTGAATACCAAAAGCATCTTAGGATTGATTGGCTCTCCACCAAACACATCAGAATTTTTAACGTTAGAATCAAACCTTTACAAAATATGCTTGAAATGAATGCCTGGCACTGAACTCTGGATTCTGAAAATCTCAGAGAAAAGGCACAGCACACCTGCAAGTTTGGTCATCCTTTGCAAAGGATTTAAAGAGAGCGTGGGCAGATGAAGCAATGATTTTTTTCATGAGATAGATTGTAGTCAAAAGATTAGAGCAACAGCAAAACCTGATTCTACAGCTACAGTAAAAGAAGTCTAACAGGACATGTACATATATAGCTGTGGATCATCTTCATGGTGCCACTAAAAAGAACTGTGACCACTTGCAGTTTGGTTGCACAGATTATCATTTCATGTGATTTTAACTACTCCAGCACTAGCCAAATACCAGATGCCAACGTGTTTTAGGATGTCTGTCATCCCTCCATCCCCTTCTGAAAGACAGAACTTAATAATGCCACAGCCTTCTCTAGTTTCGTGCTCACCAGCATACACTGAATACATAAGTAATATGTATATATTTATATTTATTTATATATATAATATATATATATATATATAATATATATATTATATATATATATATATATAATATATATATATATTTATATTTATTTATATATATTTATATATAAGTAATAAGTAATACATAAATAACTGCAGGGTTATACAAATTTTCAATTCCAAGGGAGATAATTAAAATCAAAACCTTTCAAGATGAGTCGTATGTTGTAAATACCAGGAAGACCTTGAGGGAAACACTGATGTGAAAAACATCTTCTAAGGGAAAGAGGTGCATGGAAAGCTTACTCCCACCATCAGCTGGATGGAGAGACCATTCCACAAAGATGACAGAGGCTTGAATGGCTTAGCCTAGGGAAAGGAAATCTTTCTAAAAACACACATGAGTAAATATCAAGAGGAAACACCAAAAAAGTGTTGAACAAAGCCTAAACAAAAGAGCACTATCTGAGTACGAGCACACATGAAAAAAGAAAGCACCCTACTGTGAGCACAAAGGAGAAACAGCAGATCACAAATTAAAAAAAAAAAAGTGGATTTCCAGCCTGAACTACTTTTTATTTTAGACTAGAAGATAAAGCAGATCCTGGAACACCCTTTCCACAGGGAAAGCAGAAAAACCCAAGATCTTCACTTTCAAAAACTACCCTAATTTGCTTACAAGATTACACAGAAATGGTTCTTAGCATTATTACAAATTTCAGTTCTTTTCTCAAGTTCCTAAAGAAATTTCCTAAAGAACTTGAGAAAAATTACTTCACAGTAATAAATGACTTTATTCAACAGAAACAAGCACAGATAATTGCAGCAGCAAAGCTGACTTATGAAGTATTAACTTTTCTTTTTTCAGTTTTGTTTTGAAATACCTTCGATTTGACTATAATCCTCCATATAAATCTTTTGGAGATTTTCAACTCTTCCAATTCAGTCCTGCAGATTATCATACCAGAACACTGACGCTCACCCAACTAACAGCTGCTGTTTTTAATAAGACCTCTGCAGTTCCTACGCCGGGATGGTTTACTTCCATCACATGGCTCCTTTTACAAGAGATCTCTTGCCCCCGTGAAATTCTTGGGCATAATGGAGTAGTCACAGAAGTCCTACCATGCTTAATTGAACTTGCTTGAAGAAAGGCCATGTATAAACGAGCTTCTCCAGCTACAGTTGTCACAATATAATCCTATTTTATGTGTGAGCAGCAGCACTGGTAAATGTACTGGTGATGCAGCAAGGTCCCCCCAACACAAGCATCTCCCAGAAAAGGCAGTAGTCATCAGGCAAACAAAGCAAGAGGCTACAAAGCTAAGAGCCTGCATTTTTGTTCCTGTCATTAACTCCAGCGTCCTCTAGCTAGTGCTTTTGCTTTACAATTACTTGATCAAAGCCGAGGCAGACAAAGTGCCTGTCTCCTTGTGAGTCTAGTGAAAACCTATTTAATAAACTCTTCATGGAACAGTTACATGGCTAAGATCCACTTGCTTTCTGACAGCTAATTTTCATTATTTTAATTTCTAATTATTTTTAATGAGATAGCTCAGAAGAAACCCTCAATCACTGCTCTAAGGAAGATGTTCAGCCAAGGTCACACGGTGTGAGCCGACAATCTGAATAGTCCTGTATTTTGGCACTGCCTCATCATCACATCATTCTTCTCATCCTCACCCCCTCAGTGCCACCTCCCGTCCACCCTCTGCAATACCTGGAGCATTTCTCTCCATGCCAACCACTTCACAGCCAAAGAAAGCCAGCATGGCACGGGGCTTTGCCATGGATGAGCTGCCTTTTCCTCCCACCTACCACTCACAGCCCCTCTACCACACCTGTAACACTTCACAGATCTTTAAATTCAAGCTAAATGCAACACTTGAATTAGGTGGGAGGAGTGCTTGCCGTTGACTGTTGTGATCATTAAATCATGACTGCAAGGCATGCAATCACATTAGCTGTTGAAAAGTTCAGTAATGAAAATGGC